CAGAGAGGCCAGCCTGGCACATTCATGCAGGGGGCAGGGGCGTTGTTCCTCGCCGGGCCAGGTGGGGCGAGCCGGCCTCACCCTTTCCCCCGGAGGCCCCGCCCCTTCCCCTGAGGCCCCGCCCCTCCTGGGTTCGAGTCCCACCAGCCTCCCTTTAGGACGAGACGCAAGGGGCTTAAACTGCAGCAACTGTGGCGTCTCCATCCCTGGAGATACTGAAGAGCAGGTTGGATCCACACCTGTCAGGGACGGTCTCGTGGTTCTTAAACGTTTTACGACCGAGGAACACCAGAAGTATTTGGTTTTTTAATGAGGAACACCAAGGATTTTTTCGTTGGGCAAACAAACAAACAAACGAAAGGGTTGAGGGGAAGTGGTTGAGGAAAAAAAAAAAGGTGGCTTGCCCCTTTAAGGGCGGCCATTTTGAACTCTGCTCTGCGTGACGCAGAACACAATTTAAGTGACACGGGTCTAGACGGTGCTGGGTCCTGACGGTGCGGGCAGGGGACTGGACCCGATGCCCCTCGAGGTCCCTTCCCGTTCTAGTGTTCCGGGATAAGGGAAATAAACGGTGAAACCTTCGAAACTGGGAAACGAGGCCCTGGCTGTAGCAACATCCTTTGTCGCCGGCGGTTTCACAACCCTCCCGCTGGCGTGAAAGCGTGTTTCCGCGCTAGCTCTGGGGCAGGGAACAGCGTCGTCTGTGTGGCTTCCTACCAGCTGATCCCCAAGCAGACCTTTCACTTTTCCCACCGGCTCCTGCCGTGCGTTGCGGCGAACGAGCCCGCCACAAGCGGGAGGCGAGCAGGAAGAGGAGGCACATGCACACGGACAGGAACAAGGAGAGGCCCACTTTCCAAGAGGCGGCTCTGGGGAAAAAGTCCTCTGCAAAAGGGAAAACAGACCCCGTGTTAGTCCCCCGCAACATGGCGCGGCAAATCCCCCGAACAGAAGCTGGGGCGGAGAATGTGGGCAATTGCTGAATTTGCCATAGAAGGTTTTTCTCCAACCAGTTGGTTGGGCATTTGAGTCCTACATTTTTTTAAAAGGATATTTTCGCTAGGGTCTACTGAATATAATGGTGAATTCTGTATTTCAGTGGGGCCGAAAAGGCACGAATAAAATCACTTCTGGGGGTGGCCAGACACGGTGACCGAGATCAGGGCCCCGTCGGGCTGGGTGCCACCCAGACACACGGCGACCGAGAACAGGGCACAGGTCTGTGTCCTGCTTCCCCGAGGGTCTCACCAGAAAGGCGAATGGCCAAGACTTTCTCCGGGCCGGGTGCGCCGGGGCGGATGGCGCAGACCAAGGTAGGGGCTGAGTTCTCGGTCAGCACTACGGAGCTGCAGATGTCATACAGCCCCTGGTTCATGGTGAATTTTTTCTTCTCCGACAGGGTCAGGTTCTGCCCGTCGCCGTTTCGCCAGAACACCTCTGGGGCCGGGTACCAGCCCTCGGAGAGACACGTGACGCTCATCCGCTTGTCCTGGGAGAGCCCGATGTGGAGGACGGGGTCTGAGCCGGAGCCTGGGGGAGTCAAACCGAGGTCAATTCTCCCCTGGGTTCCTTCCATCTTCATTCCTGTTCCCCTCGCGGCCAGACAGACCGGGGCAAACCAGGACCAAGCCAGCCCAGAGTCCCAGCCCACAAACCCCAACTGATCCAGGAGAGGGGGGATTAGGGGCTGCTCGGGGTGGGAAGGACAGACAAACAGAGGCTAGGGACACCATCGCTACCCATCCTGGCGAATAGCCATTGCTGGACCTCACCTCCATGAATCTATTGAGCTCTTTTTGGACCCCGTTCCAGCCCTGAACGTCACGCCATCCTGTGGCGAGGAGTTCCACAGGTTAACGGAGCGCCGCGTGCCGCAAAACCTCCCCTGGTTTGTTTTCAAGCTGCGGCCCGTTCGTTGTATTGGGCGTCCCCTCCTTGTTATATTGTGGGAACAAGTCGATCACTTTTCCTTATGCGCTTTCTCCGCACCAGGCCTGATTTTAGAGACCTCTCTCCTACCCCACCGCCCTTCCTCTCCTCTCTTCTAAGCTGAAAAGCTCAAATCGTTTTACTCTCTCTTCCTATGGGGCCCGTGCCCAACCCCTCCTCGGTTTTGTGGCCTTTTCCTGAACCTCGCCCAAGGCCAAGAGATCTTTTTCAAGATCCGGCGCCCACCTCCGCACGCCCTCGGTCTGGCAAGTCGCTGCCGTGAGACCAAACGGGACGCCCCAGGGAGAGAAAAGATCTGCCCTTCCTTGGAGGTTCGGCCCCCGTAAGAGGAATTGTAGCGTGTGTCTGGACAGAGGCATTCGTGGTCGAGTTGGCTGTGCCTTGTCCGTTAGCTTACATGTCTCATCCACTTGGCTGGACCCTGTTTTCACTCGTAAGCTGTCGGGTTAGCCAGCAGACTGGGGACTAAAGTGTTAACCACCTAAGCCAGGAAGAGTTGGCCAATAGGAACGTAGGTAGGAATTTCAAACTGGGACAAAGGAATTTCGGGATTTCCCCTCCTTTGTCCTGGGCAGTTTTGCTCTCCAGCGATTGACGGGCACACGATGTCTCCCTCTAAAACAATACTCGTCAAAAAAGATATTTTGGCCTTGGAAAGGGTTCCGAAAAGGGCAACTAAAATGAGTAGGGGTTTGGAACGGGTCCCATATGAGGAGAGGTTAAAGCGCCGGGGACTTTTCAGTTTAGAAAAGAGGAGACTGAGGGGGGATAGGAGAGAGGTCTATAAAATCATGAGTGGTGTGGAGAGGGCGGATAAAGAAAAGTTATTTATTAGTTCCCTAAATAGAAGAACTAGAGGACACCAAATGAAATTAATGGGTAGCAGGTTTAAAACTAATAAAAGAAAGTTCTTCTTCACACAGCGTGTAGTCAACCTGTGGAACTCCTTGCCAGAGGAGGCTGTGAAGGCTAGGACTATAATAGAGTTTAAAGAGAAGCTAGATAATTTCATGGAGGTTAGGTCCATAAAAAGCTATTAGCCAGGGGATAAAATGGTGTCCTTGGCCTCTGGTGAGACAAATCTCTTGATCGTTGTCTTCGGTCCCCCCCCTCTGGGGCACCTGGTGCTGGCCACTGTCGGCAGACAGGCTACTGGGCTAGAAGGACCTTTGGTCTGACCCAGTATGGCCGTTCTTATGTAAATAGGATAAAGTTTAGATCAATCCATTTGGTTTTATTGTTTTATGGTTTGGGAATGGGATCTGCTGTCTGTGCATTTAAAAATGGGTTTTGCTCTCCTTTGTAACTAAGGCTATGTCTAGACTGCAAGCCTCTTTCGAAAGAGAGCATCTAGACTGCACGTTGCTTTTTCGAAAGAAAGCATCCAGTGAGTCTGGATGCTCTCTTTCGAAGAAGCCCTATTTACATTGAAGAACGCCTTCTTTCGAAAGTTCCTCTTTCGAAAGAAGGCGTTCTTCCTCGTGAAATGAGGTTTACCGCCATCGAAAGAAAAGCCGCGTTCTTTTGATTTAATTTCGAAAGAACGCGGCTTGAGTCTGGACGCAGGGGAAGTTTTTTCGGAAAAAGGCTACTTTTCCCGAAAAAAACCCTGAGTCTGGACACAGCCTGGAAGTATTACTTAGATTCAGAGGTGAGGGACTTTTTTGGGTTGGGGGCTGCTGACCCACAGACGTGGTCACCTGGCATTGGTTAGGTTGTGTATCCTGGTTTGTACTTGAGGGGTGTGATTTCCCAGGTGGTCTCTCTCTGGGGAAGGAGCCGTGACACAAGGCCTTCGATCCGACTGTTTGCCCTTATTAAAAATCACTTTTCTTTTCAGTGCAGCCCAGGGTCGACCAGTCTCAGTGGGGGAGCCTTCGGGGTTGCGTTCTCCTTTTGTTGCTCCCGAGGGGCGTGGCTGGGGGGCTAGACTGCACGTTGAACTTTCAAAAAAGCGGCTTGCTTTTTCGAAAGAAAGCATCCAGTGAGTCTGGATGCTCTCTTTCGAAGAAGCCCTATTTACATTGAAGAACGCCTTCTTTCGAAAGTTCCTCTTTCGAAAGAAGGCGTTCTTCCTCGTGAAATGAGGTTTACCGCCATCGAAAGAAAAGCCGCGTTCTTTTGATTTAATTTCGAAAGAACGCGGCTTGAGTCTGGACGCAGGTGAGGTTTTTTCGAAAAAAGGCTACTTTTTTCGAAAAATCCCCTGAGTCTGGACACAGCCTAAGCTCCTGGCCCATGGCAAATTTCTCCTCCGTGAGTATCCTATTTTGGGACTGTTCCGTCTCGTCATGATGCCTGCGACGGGAATAGTGGGGTGATAATAAACGTTCTTTCTCTTTTCTTCGTGGTCACCTGGCATTGGTTAGGTTGTGTATCCTGGTTTGTACTTGAGGGGTGTGATTTCCCAGGTGGTCTCTCTCTGGGGAAGGAGCCGTGACACAAGGCCTTCGATCCGACTGTTTGCCCTTATTAAAAATCACTTTTCTTTTCAGTGCAGCCCAGGGTCG